TTTTTTTTTTTTTTTTAAAATCCCTGTGGTGGGTGGGGGGGGGGGGTGGTGGGGGCCCCCGCCCCGCAAATGGAAGTAGAGAAGAATGGCACGAAGCACTGTGAGCCATGCAATGGACTCTGCCCAAAAGGTGAAACGCACATTATACACAGTTACAATATATCAGTTACAGCACAACTGTTAAGAGATATTCTTCAGCAGGTAAATGTCATGTACAGGATATACGCGATGCATTTTATTAACAATAATAAACACGTTCATATTAGAACAATTCACGTTGAACAGAAAGTGTGTAATTGAACTTCCTCTCTCTCTCTCTCTCTCTCTCTCTCTCTCTCTCTCTTTCTCTCTCTCTCTCTCTCTCTCTCTCTTCAGTGTGTGAGGGGACAGATTCCAGTAAGAGCAACAGACAGACAGTGGACTCCAGCAACATTGACAGTTTCATCAACTGCACCAAGATCCAGGGCAGCCTCCATTTTCTTGGCCTGGGTATTAACGGGTGAGCCTCTCTGTCTACCTATACTTATCTTCATGTTTCTTATTATTTTTATATTATAAGACCTTTGAATTATAAGATTCTATCTAAGTTTTTGTTGGTCGAACTAAATATGTTACGCTATAAACATGTGCACATAGATACATGGCACTGCATAAATGTGAGATGTTTTACACCGAAATGGTGCTTATGTTTACGTTGTATTCGATTCAGGTTTTTTTTTTTAAACCTTATTTATGACCTCATGGCTCAATACATAGCACGTTCGCCTCACACCTCCAGGGTCGGGGGTTCGATTCCCACCGTGGCCCTGTGGAGTTTGTGTGGAGTTTGCATGTTCTCCCCGTGCTGCGGGGGTTTCATCCGGGTACTCCGGTTTCCTCCCCCAGTCCAAAGACATGTATGGTAGGCTGATTGGCGTGTCTAAAATGTCCGTAGTGTATGAATGGGTGTGTGAGTGTATATGTGATTGTGCCATGTGATGGACTGGCACTCTGTCCAGGGTGTACCCCGCCTTGTGCCCCATGCTCCCTGGGATAGACTGCAGGTTCCCCCGTGACCCTGAAAAGGATAAAGCGGTATAGCGGATGGATGGATGGATGGATGGCTTAATACATTAAATTGACAGAATTGACAGACAGAAACTTATAATCTTCCAAATAGTTGAAAGTAATCCTAAACTTTAGTCAATCCTTCCGTAAGGAATTCATTTGAGTGTGAAAGTTGGCACTACTTTGGCGCTACTGCATTCTTTCGCGAAACTGAAGAAGCTGAAATCTGAGTTACTACTGAAAACATTACAGGCGAGTGGTATTGCGTCGTCAAATATAAGAGCCAGTGTAGTTCTAGCATGCAGTTGGTTTACTAGAGGACGTGGCTGAGCGTGTGAAGTATTAGTGGTTTCCCACGTACAGCTTTGTAGAAGATGGCATGGGAGTGGTATATAATAAATGGTGTAAGTGCTTCTGATTTTTTCTGATGAGTTACGAAATCTGTTACCAAATCCTTGATAAAGTAGAGAACTGTCAAGTATTCCTAGTGCTTATTAATGGTCACACAGTTGTATATCTTTTACAGGGATGATTATAATAAAATACCTCCTCTAGTCCCAGAGAAACTCAGAGTCTTCAGCACTGTAAGAGAAATAACAGGTAATATATGTACAGTCTCTGATTGGATGGGGGGTGGATGGGGGGGGAGATGGGGTCTGAAGCTCTACTCCAACTTTTATTCATTTAGATGAATAATTAAAGTAAAGTATTCAAGTACTTTCACATTTGATTGCATTGTGATAGCATGTATAATATTATACACAGTTATTAATAATAATAATAATAATAATAATAATAATAATGCTTTTTTTATGGTTGTGTGTACTGTAGGAATTTTGAGTATTCAGTATTGGCCTGCAGAGCTGAAGGATTTGTCATTTTTCTCCAATCTTACCACTATACGTGGACGGTCGCTTCACGTGTAAGTGTGTAAATTTCTGTTTGCGTGTTTCTAGCATCAGCAGTTTTCGAGTCTAACTGCCACCTGTGTGTCTGGCTGCGTGCTAATACTATTAAATGACATCCGTTTTATGCGAGCAGTGTATCACAGTCTGTGCATGCGTCTCATCTTTGCTCTTTATTTGTTTTTATTTGTTATTTGTTGTTGTGTGTGTGTGTGTGTGTTTTGTTATTGTGCATCCCTCCACCTCACCCCACCATACCCACTTCCCCTAACTGTGTCCCCCGCAACAGCACAAAGAGGTATGTAAACCAAGCGAACTGCTCTAAACTGCATGGCTTCCTAAGAAATCTCCCTCTTTCTTTATCCCTTTCTCTGTATCTCCCATGCACACACCGTCACACACTGGTGTCGTTTTCCTCTTTGGGTGTCACATTATGACAGCAGTGTGAAAATGGAGCCAAATGGCTTTGATGGGTTGCAAAATATGGTTGATAAAGATGAAGGTGCATGTTCAGGAAGACGTTGAGACTTGTAGGTTTGAACAGATTTTGCAGCTTTCATGAATGTGCATCTATGGTTGCGTTTCTCGCCAGCAAGTTTTGACCAAACCTGGTAAACCAACCTCCAGTAATACAGCAATAATATACTCTACCGTCATAAAATATAAATGAAGTTGTTGGATAGTTACATGTTCTGGCCAAATGGACATAATGCTAAACAAGTTTGTGATCAGCTGTCAAAATATTTTCATCATGATGATTAGGGGCAATCCTAGTTTGTAGTGGAGGTCAGTGCACCAGTAGGCAGCATCAAACCGGATAATCCGTGATCATAAATCAGGAAAACAGTTGAGAGGCAAAACCAGTAAGTCTTGGTACTATGAAACAAGACAAAGCTCTGACTTAACGCTAGAAATGTCCAATTAAACTTTCGTCGTTGACAATAATCGTTTAGTACTGGGAATTTTTCAAAGATTCCAACTATTGCGCTGGCTGTCAAGTGGAATGATTTAAATGTCTGTCGGAAAAACACGGAGTCTGCAGCGTTAAGAGCGACAAAAATAAAGTGAGTTGTAATATGTGTTTCCTTTTCATCTATTTTGTAGCCTAAACGAACCATAATAACTTGCTGTCTGATTTCGGCGCAGAGAAACAAAACACCTTAGCTTCCCTTGGTCCATCCCGCCAAACAAGATAAAGCCCTCGCATTTAAAAAGCACTTAAGGAAATGCAACAATCTCTGGTTAATCAGGGCTACTTCACTATACGTGTGTGCTATTCACCACAGACCACGTACACGTGTAGTTTGTAGAATTGTATTTAAATGTTACTATGACCTTAGTTACAGCTAATTAACGGTTACATTTATTTACAGTCCCGACTTCAGTTCTGACCTTGTAAATGGGTAATTAATAAAATAAAAACACACACACACACACACACAAAAACAAAAACCTTGACAGCTAATACTAGCAATTGCAGCTTCAACCAACTCGTAACCAGCTTCCAGATGGCCACGCCCCCTATCCACAGCCGAGCCACAGGCGATCACGATTGATCTCACAAGCCTAGTATACACATACACAGTAATTATGGGCATAACATGAGGAAGGTGGACACAATTGGGTAACACAACAATGCAAGGAAGGGGGCGGAGACAGGACAAGAACGGAAACAAAGGCCCATGGAATGCAAAGGGGAAAATCATGACGAAAACAAAAGACAGTCCGAAAAGGTGCGAATAAGACACCAATTGCAATTCAGGAAAGCTTGTCGTTGTCAGATCTTCGTGTCGTATCATATTATGTCAATTATAAATGTTACCATGTGAGGGGGTTTTTGTTGTCTGCTTCACATATTTCCCCTTTCCATCCGACTTAAAAATGAATTTGTAATCTTTTCAAATCTGAAACTTGAACTGTTGGCACACGTAGCTGTTTGTGTGTCAGCAATGCTGTTGTTGTGGAAAGTTCATCTTACTTTAAGGGTTGCGTGGTCATTATTGTTCTTCAGGAGAATATCCACTTTGCTCAGTCAGATTATCATTCAGACTGGCTTGTCATTATGTCATCATTTCAATCTAGGAGTGCGTGTAAACATGTTTATACTGTTTAAGCCTCCATGTATACCGTCTGTAGCTACCGCTTAAATCAGTTTGTATCTCCTCTCCCTCATTTCCTCGTGATTTTTGCTCCACTTGTCTCTGTCCAGCTCCATCTCTTTACAAACAGGGGATTATTTTTTTACTTTGTTTTCTGATCCAGCTCTGCACCTGTCTTTCTCTGTTAGACCCTTCTCTCTGATGGTGATGAAGGTGGACTCTCTGACGTCTCTGGGTCTGCGCTCTCTGCGGGAGATCAGCGAGGGCAGCGTGTACATCAGCAATAACACGAACCTATGTTACCAGCATACCGTGATGTGGCAGCAGATCTTCACTGGCACCCAGACTAGGCGCAGACAGAAATTAAACGATATCAAGTTCAACAAGCCGGCGAGCCAGTGTGGTAAAATGTCCATATTCCTTCTGCGTGGACATATTGTACTTTCACAGATACGTGCGATGTACTCAGCACTTCTTTCTGCCTCTGTGTGTGCGCTTACAGAGGCTGAGGGTCATGTATGTGATCCGCTGTGTTCAAACTCAGGCTGTTGGGGCCCGGGACCTGAGCAGTGTCTTTCCTGCAGGAATCACAGTCGCCATCATACCTGTGTAGCACAGTGTAACATCTTCTCTGGGTCAGTGCGTGTGTGAATGCATATATGTTTATAATCATTCCGATCTTTAACAGAACTTTCTGCGTTTTTTGTATACAAATTGTCTTATTGACTGTATATGTGTTTGTAGGGAACCACGGGAGTTCTCAGGTCTAACTGGAGAGTGCCTTGCCTGTCATCCTGAGTGTCTACCACAGGAGGGGAGAGAGACCTGCAGAGGAGAGGTATGGAGGAACAGGGGCAGTCGTATTTACATTTACGCCATTTGCCAGAGAGACTTACAATTATCTCATTTTGCTCAGTTAAGGGTTAAGGGCTCAAGGGCAGTGGCAGCTTGGCGATGCTGCGATTTGAACGCACGACCTTCTGATCAGAAGTCCAATGTCTTAACCACTGCTCTACCACTTCCCGTTCCCATTCCGGTTTTATGTGGAGGCAGACAGGATTTGAGATACACCAAGATCATATTAGAATTATATCAACACTACAATACCACAACTAAACATCTCGGTATCAACCCAGAGGACGCTATAGCCCGTTTTTCTGGTGCAAAAAAAAAAAAAAAAAGGACATGTCTCCAGAGCACAAGCTGACAATAACAGTACATGAACAATCATGCATTAGTACCTGAATTCATACTTAGTTAAATATAACTAATGATGAGTTAACTAATAAAGAGCTAAACTTAACTGCGATGTGAGTCTTCATCACGCAATCCATGCGTGAATACCAGCCCCCTTAAGTACGTTAGTACGTGTTTGTCAGTTAATGTATTAATTAACCCCTTTGGTAAACTAAATCAAACCTGCTCTATAAGAAAGAATATGAAGTAAAGCGGTCAACTTTGTTCTTCAATTTTGAAGTAAAGGAGCAGTGGCCCGGACCCTATCCTCCCAGAGTATGTACTAGTACTAAAATGGGATCTGAGGAGAAATGGATGAAAAATGACGTAAAACGAGCTGAGATGATATTATTGGTGTTTATTATTAGTGCGTCTTCCTACGTTCGATAAGGAGGATCGATGTAAATTTTGAACGTAATCCAGCGCCATCCATTGATGTTTGTGTACGCGGCTGCGTGTGGCGAATGATATAAACAATTTGAAATGATGCACGTTTAATTCATATTCTTTCTTATAGAGCATGTTTGGATTGCTTTAGCCCTACGTGTTAATGAATACTTTAACTGAACAAACATGTACTTGATTCACACATGAATTCATAAGGCTGAAAGGTTAAAGAGTTAAGGTAAGGTAAGATAAGATAAGATAAACTTTATTGATCCCACCCCGGGGGAGTTCCCTCGGTACAGCGGCTCAGTTACACAGAAAAACAGATAGGAAAGAATGCACGTTAAATAGAGAGTGGAAAAAAGTATCTAAAAAATGACATACAATAGGAACAGAAAATAAGAATAAAAGTAGTGAGGAAATAATAATAATAATAATAATAATAATAATAATAATAATAATAATGGTAATGTGTACTCTATGTACACCTCAGTGTATGTGCAGATGAATACAAATATATACACATGAGTAACAAATTGTTTATATACATAAATGGATTATTGCGCAGTTAACAATAAAGGGGTGAGCAACAAATAATAATAATGTGTGGGTTGATGATGCAAAACAGCTAGCAGTGCTACATTATGTTATTGCGTTAAAGAGTCTGACTGCTGTGGGATGAAGGACATGCGCTAGCGCTCTTTCTTGCACTGAGAGTGCAGCAGTCTGCTGCTGAAGGAGCTGCTCAGGGACCCCAATGTCTCATACAGGGGGTGAGAAGAATTGCCCATGATAGACGCCATCTTAGCTAACATCCTCCTCTCCCCCACTATGCTTCCACTATGTTGTCCAGAGGACAGACCAGGACAGAGCTTAACCAGTTTGTGAGACGTTTCCTGTCCCGCTCTGTGCTCCCGACTCCCCAGGAAACTACTCCATAGAATATAGCAGATGCTACCACAGTGTCATAGAGAGATTTTAGCAGGGTCCTGCACACACCAATAGACCTCAGTCTCTTCAAGCAGGTGGAGACGACTTTGTCCCTGTTTATACAGGAAAAGGGAACTATGGTTAAAGGTTCGCTCTTTATTAGTTTGTGAGTAGAACATGCCTTAGGTCATCATTAGTTCATATTTAATAAAGTATTCATTCAGGTATGAGTGCATGATTATTCATGTACTGAAACTGTAAAATGTATAAACTCACAGTGACACTACAGCTACAGAGTACCGAAGTTAATATCGATGTTGTTCTCTGTATCTGCGTCTACCAGCTCCGGTATCCCTGAACTGGCGTTATATATTTACACTACCGTTTAAAAGCTTTCCCACATTTTAGAATAATAATAAAGTCATCAAAACTCTGGAAGAACACAAATGGAACTATGGGAATTATGTTGCGATGACAAAATCCAAAATAAATCAAAATAATTTTATATTTTAGCAGCTTCAGAGTAGACGCCCTTCTTGCGTGGAATTTATAGAAATGTATTCTTGGCGTTTTCTCACCCGATTTCTTGAGGAATTTCCGTGAGATGCTTTTTAAACAGTATTAACGGCGTTCACACCGACACCGGACTCTCATCGCCTGCTTTTCGGAAATATTTGCCTCCGAGTCGTCTGTTTAAAAAAATACATTTCTGTAAATAAAATGTTCGCTTTCTCATGAAAGAAATGAATAATTGTTGGTCCAATCATATTTTTTGTCTTCAACACCGCTTTCAAACATTTCATCGCACACCTTTCAGATCAAACGCTTTTTGCGATCATGAGAAACATTTCAGTCGGGCGTCCACAAACTTTTGACCGGCAATGTATATCAGACATAATAAGACCTTTCAAAAACGTTTCAAGGGAATCAACAAAAATTCCCTTGATCACCAGCCTCTATTGTTTGTTTGTTTGTTTATTTATTTATTTAACTCCATCTTGAAGTTAATAAAATAACAAAAAGTGTGCCAGAAAAATTAAAGGAACGGCTTTACACGCTTTACCTTGAATAAAGGTTATAAGGTTATAAAGTACCGATACGGGAGACTGCTTCCAAACATGTTCCATGCCAACACATTTTCTTTTGAATCTGTTTATGTGGAGCATCCATACATACAAGGCACTATGTAAGTAGTTAGCGTGATCGACGTTGTTCTACTCCGATAAAAATGATAAAGTATTAGAACAATCGCATTAATATAAACCTTCTAGCCCGCGCTACTGTCCGAGCCGTGAGGTTGTCGAAAGTGACCAATCAGAATTGATCATTCGAAAACACTGTGGTAAACATTTAGATTAAACAATTTCAGACTTGTAGATTAAACACTTTATTTAGTTCAGCACATCAAGTTTAACATCTATGTCTCTCTTTCTCTCTCTCTCTCTCTCTCTCTCTCTCTCTCTCTCTCTCTCTCTCAATGCATTTTGACCTGCACCATTGTTTATTCACCTCGGGTCTATTTGCCAAATTCATTGCTCTGTCCCGTTAACAACAGCCTACGTTTTCCTGAATGACTCAGAAGGCGACATTGGCGATATTAAGCAGCCCAGTGTTAAATACATATCGACGTGTATTTACTTTTCGTCCCCTTTTGTACATGATGAAATATGACCTCCGTTATTTTTGCCTTTGATGTGGCGGCCGTAGTTCAGATTCTGTACACGCCAGAGCCTGTGGATTTTCCACTGTTTAGATGAGCACTTTAATGTCAACACAGAAACACCCTGAAACACGCCCCCTCTGATCGCGCTTGTGTATGTCGGTTGTGTATGTGTGTTGTCGTTGTTGTTGTGCGAGTACCTGTTTCGCTCGTTGCTCACGAGCGCATGACCAACTCGCACTGAATTAAAGACAGAGAATATTTTGTGTAAAAAATATATATATATATATATGTTCATCGTTATGGAATTACTGATTCTGTGACTTCCTCTAATGGTTCTGGTTAGATGGCGGATGAGCTTTGTGGCACTCGTATTTGTATTTGTATTGTATTCTTCCTCATTTTGAAAGTTGGTTTGAAAAAAGGCAGCCGAAGGATGAAATGTAAATGTGCATGTAAATGTCATGATGCACTAATGAATAAGAAAAATTCCAACAATATCATTTTAATAGTCCACCCACGCTCTGTGCAATGTCTTCAGCAAGCTCTAAAGACCTGCCAAACTGGCTTTGCTGCCTCTTGGCTTCACCCTGCTCATTGTGTAATAACGCATCACTTACACGTCAACAGGATTACGAATTCCAGTTTTAGTTGTTTACACTTGTACAGGTGCTGACAGATTGAGCTGCTATAAATCTTCCGTGAGATAATCATATTTTCCCCCCACTCTCTCTCTCTCTCTCTCTCTCGATCTCGATCTCGATCTCGATCTCTTTGCATGTGTGGCTGTAAGGGAGCGGATAAGTGTGAAGCATGCGCTAACCTAATGGACGGTCCCCATTGTGTGTCCTCCTGCCCTTACGGAGTGACTGGAGAGAGGGGACAGACTATCTTTAAGTACCCAGATAGTACAGGACACTGCCAGCCTTGTCACCCGAACTGCACAAGCGGGTAAGCTCACAGTACATCCATAATGCAGCTACACCATGGACAAAACGTAGAATCTCAGCGGTTATATTCCGACACGTTGTGAAAGTGCTTCAAAATGATTGGTCCCTCCCTTCAGTTCAGACCACGGGGGTTCGATAGGAGACCGACGTGGCCGTCGGAAAACATTATTATTGTGGACCACACAGATTGTGTATTTAGAGTCGTTAATTTGTTCAAAGGTCCATCTATGTTCAAGATTTATTCATCTATATTTACTTTTTTTTAGCTTCTCCGGCTGTTTAATTGAGCATTGTGTGTGTTAATCTGTTGAAACCGTGTGAATATGAAATGAGTTTTCTGATGCACCGACCCATCCGTTTTTTTTTTTCAAGATGCACTGGCCCATCGTTGAGAGATTGCATGGATGCTCGTCTAACAGCGGACAGGTCAGTGGCTCCCTCTACTGGTGGCAAACTTCATGCATAGTATATTTCCATCATAACTTCATAACCCTTTGCTTTCGCTTTGCACTCTTGAGTCTTTTCGTGTCTGACCGGCTGACGTGCTTTCTCTCAGTCCTCACATTGCAGCTATAGTAAGCGGAGTGTTGGCTGGTCTCATCGTGTGTTTGGCGGTCGTGGTGATGGCGCTGCTGTACCGCCGTGGCCTGGCCATCCGCCGCAAGAGGGCACTCAGGAGATACCTGGAGAGCGGCGAGGTGACGACACACAACATGAGGAGATCTCTGACAGACAGCTTTATTCCTAATCAATATGAAGTAAAATATCAGACATGACCGGGACAGTGTACACAAGATTACATAAACTGTATGAGCAAAGGCCAATGACGAGTGCAAAATACATAAATTTGTAATTTAAAGGC